AAATGTTTATGTATTGTTTCATGAGAGATATACAATTTCAGGGCTATTTCACAAGTGTGTTTCCTTGGGTTAGCTTCAACAAATGTCTTCAGAGCATCAATATCAATTCCAATATGTCGGCTCCTGCCATCACAGTTTTTAAGGATAAAGTCACCTGAACAAAATTTGCTGAACCATTGTTGACACTTATGAACGTTCAAAACATTTCCATAAACTTCTTTGATATTCTTTGTGGCTACAGAGGCATTGTTTTCCTTCTTGTATTCAGAGCATCAATATCAATTCCAACACGTCAGCTCCTGCTTTCACAGTTTTTAAGGCTAAAGTCACCTGAATGCAATTTGCTGAACCATCGTTGACACTTATGAACATTCAAAACATTTCCACAAACTTCTTTGATATTCTTTGTGGCTACAGAGGCATTGTTTCCCCTTCTTGTATTCAAATAGCATTACATGCCTAATGTGTGTCTTGTCGTGTGCCATCACTATAAGAGATTAGAGTATATTAAACTTTACACATTATAGAGGCTACACTAACGTGATGTTTAGGCAGTTCATTTAACCACTATACATGATGTATGTTTTTTGAGGAGTGGTTAATGAAAGTGTTCCAAAATGATACATTATTTTCTTGACGACCTAATATTTAATGCTGTTTCTAATAATGCATTTTGTGCATCAATACACTTAACAAGTTTTTCTGTAACCAGTCAATCTCAAAGTCAGTATAATCTCTTAAGAGGTTTAGCCAATTTTATTGTACATGATAAGCTACCCATACTCTAATGAGCAATTTAAAAATTATCAATAACAAAATCAGACATAAAATTGAGAAAAATTATCATAATATATGAATTTGTTGGAAATTAGTTTCTTTTAACTAAGTAATGTATAACTTTCTTATTTTATTTTGCTTAATTTCACAATGATAACTATGTGTGGCAAAAACTAAGAAACAAAATTCATGGTACATAGTTAAAGGTCATTTTTAACATCAGTTGAGAAACCCTTATTTTTAATTAGATTTAATTAAAAATCCAAAGGTTTACTTTAAAGCACCTGACATCTTTCTTATCCAGATATTTTTAGTAGAAATTGTTTGGAGATATTTAAATATTTAATATTCTATACTAATATTATATACAAGGAAAAAACATTAAGCTACCAAAAGGATTTGTTATCTCAATTAATGCATCTTTTCATGGTATTGTCTATTTGTTAACAAGATAACTTTTAGTTATGGGACTACAAAAATGTTATCTATGTTTCAATTAAAATGTTCCTGTAAAATATTCTCCATAAGAACTTTCTTTTAGTTTCAAAATCAAGATTTATCAGCCAATTCAAATCAATTAATCTTCAAGGTCATTAACTGATTACATGCAACTGATCAATTATTCTCACATGAGACTTGGATAGTTGTAATAACTGGAAACATTAACAATTAGAAATGTTAATTTTAATCAGCTGATTAATTTTGTAACATTAATAGTTTTAATCCTTATTTTGATTAATAGATTATTTTAAGAGACACTAAGCAATATAAGTTATGCTCATAGGTAATTGATTACATCAGTTAATCACCAAGCTCTAATCACTGTCATTACACTATTACACTAGTGGATTTTTCTTTAAACTATAAAAAACAAGATAATTTAAGTGGGTTTTATTTCAACGTTTTTTTATACATTTTTCTCTTGATTAATTATATATCAAAGAACAACAGACTTTATATTATTTCTTTGTATTTAATGTTTTTATGTTCAAAGAAATTTATAACACACAGTTGAACATCTTAGAAGTTTTATAAAAGGTATATAATCAGAAAATATGAGGAGTCAAATTAAGAATTAGACTAATTGTATGTCAAAAAAATGCCTACTAAAAACTGTTTTGAGTTGACAAGTCCAATAACACAACTTAAAATTTTACTTTTGAAAATAATATTCATACAGTAAGCAAAGCAAATTAATTTCTTACTTGCAAAAATTATAAAAAAATTTAATTAGGTCTATCATTCTATTGAAAAAAGTAGAATGTTCTATCCAACATATATTCCCATTCACTTCATGTCAAAGCAATAACCATGTTAGTCTAGTCAACTCAAATTTTCAATTGTTTATTAACTTCTACACCCTCATGTCTTTCCCTGTATGTTTATCTTTATTTTGTCAAAAAAAACAAACTTATATAAACTTATATACTAATAATAAAATAAATAACTAATTAATCATTAGACTAAAGGATACTAACCATGACAATAAATATATGTGTCTGTGTGTGTATGACCACCACAGCTCCAAGACAAAAGAGCCTAGAAACCTGAAATTTTGCACGCATACTAAGTGGACCCTGAGAGTGTGCACTGGGTATTATTATTTATCCACACACATGCATATCTTTTTCTGGCAAAAAAAACACATAGAAAAGAATTGGTTCCTTATATTGCAAATAGAAATCACAGATAGACACGCATGTGCTTGTGTGCATGCATGTGTATCTTTTTAATGAGGCAAGCTAGTGAAAAGTCACACAGAAAAGAAGTGGCTCCTTATAGAACAACTTCTAATATATAGAAAAGTCAGTGCATTTTGGTAACAATGCATTCCACCAATGACTTTTATGTCATGTTGCTCAGCAAGAAAAGTATATAGGTTATACTTATATGCTAAAATTGGTTCAGAATACACACTAACATAGTCATCTAAAATATATCAACCTAATAACCACAGTGAAGTTGGGTACTTACACGAGTATATACATATATATATATATATATACACATACACACACACTTGTATACTTATTAAATGTTTTTAAAGAAACATAGTATTTTATCTTCTTCAGATCATCTTTCTTTTTGTTTTGAAAAAGTATATAAAAGTAACACTGCAATGCTAATAATACGTACAATAGTAGAGTTAAAAAAATAATTACAAACTTATAAAGCTCAAACCAGGAGCAAATGTCATTTGGTCTTACAGACAAAGAGCAATAATATCAATATTTTTTTCAAAATTGTTAAGAAAGATCAAAATAAAAGCTAGTCTCAAGTTTAAGTGAAAGAAGCAAGTCATAATTTAGCATTTTATTTTCTAAATTTAATTTTTCAGGACTGTAATTAAACCAAACTGTTATTTTGATTTATATAATAATATCTAATAATATAATTTACATTTTATTTATATCTATAATCAGTATTTTAGGAATTTTTATTTTATCAACTAATTTCATTCCATTTTTTTCTTATATTCACATTAATTACTTTTTTTTATCATTCTTGAAAGATTCTCCATCACAATATTTTACTGTTTTTTTCATCATATTTTGTGCATTCTGATGTCATGTGATCAACCATTTATTTGTTTGTTTGTAGTTAAGCAGAAAGCTACACAATGGGCTATCTGTGTTCTGCTCTCCATGAGTATCAAATCCCTTTTTTTTTTAGCAGTGTGAGCTCTCAGACTTAGTGCTGAGCCAGTAAGGGACCCAAGATCAACCATCTTGATTGTTACAGTACTGTCTAAAAATGTGAAACACATTAAATACTATCAACCATGTAGAAAAAAATAACCTGAAAAAGAGTGCTGTCCTAAGCATCAGGAGAAAATAAATAAAAAAGCTTATTTGATTTCTTTATTCAATCACTTTGCCTGTTACAATTTACAGTTGATTTGATAAGACTCAGATATTCTAGAGTTACTTCAAAAATTAAATGTAAAGCTTCTCATATAAAGAATGAAAGAAAGAAAGCAAGATGTATTGTATAAAACAGTTCTGTTTTACGTCACTCAAAATAAGTTTGAATAAGGTTAATATTTTTTCCTCTTTTAGGTTTGAATTTTGGAACTTTTTAAAATTACTTAACTGATAGAAGTTTGGAAAATGTTTCAAATATATCCATGACAACAAGTCATCATTCATTAATTTATTAGCTTACTTTACTGTATATGATGAGAAAAAGCATAAAAAATTAGGACATTTAAAAACCTATAGTCATGCATTTGGCCTCTTGAAAAATATTAAATTGTTCAGGTTTCAAAATATTGTTGTGTTGCATCATTTTGATAACTTGTACCTCATTAACTAATGAAAACCAATATTAAATTTTTAATACTGAAACTTACCACAATCACTTCCAGTTTTAGTCACAACAGTAAGCTTGTCTTTGGAAATTTTAACAATACTTCCATCATTTGTTCCAGTGTATATGTCTCCTAGATTTAACACAATAACCTTCTAAATTTTTCTGTTTAAGGAAAATGGGAAATGTACAAATAATACTGTATAAATATACCATTAAAAAACAAATCATTACGTGGCACTCATACCATTTTTCCTACAGAAAAAATAAGCAAATATGCTGTAAAGATAAACTTACATCTATGCTTACTACATTTTTATGCTGTTGGTAAATAAAAAAAAAATGGTTTGTGAGTGAAAAAATAAGTAGAAAAAAATTAAAGATTATATTCATTTACTTTTTCAACAAGCACTTTTAGTTAAAATCTGATATTTTTACTAAAAACAAAGTTCAATTTTCTTTCTAAATGTGCACAAATATTAGTCTTGCAAACCTTACTTAAACCTAAAACTTAATAAAGAATAAAAATCATGTTTTAATACCATCTGATCTTTCAAAACTGTTAATTTAACACAAAAAATTCAAAATTCATTTCCAGAGACTATCAACAGTGCAATAACCCAGTAATTACAGAATTTCAATATATGATAAATTACAAGTTATTCTAGACAAGAGCGAAATAACGTCTTTATATGAGAATTTATATTATAACACATCAAGAACACTAAATGAAATTACATGTAATAAAAGCTCATACAATTTGCATCTATAATGCTGTAATGCAAATTGTTTACTGAGCTTGGAACAAAAGAACCTCAAATCTAGGTTACACATATATGAATCTAGGTAATAAAGACATGGGTAAAAAAGACAAAGCTAAAAAGGAGAAAGAAAATTACACAAACAGGTAAAAAAGTCAAAAAAAAGTATTTTGGAAAACAGTATCAATAACAGCTAAGCCTAAGCCAATTATTGAAACCATATAAACCAATTGAGTTAATAATTACAGTTATTAACAGTGGTGTAGTGCTATATAAAAAAGTGAGGGAATGCATTTTGAAAGTGTTACTATGGTTAGAACTTATTACATCACCAATACATAAAAGCATATATTTCAGAAATAGTAGCTGTAATTGAAATCTACATTTGAAAATGTTACAATAAAAGTTAATTTTCCCTCAACTCCTGAATAACTTATTAAAAGAACTTCCGAGCTTGATCTATAGTGAGTTCCTTGGACTTCGCTACTCTTGTTCATGTATCAGTTGCTCAACAATGACACCTAAGCCATTTGTATATATATATAGTCATCTGGTTTCCAGTTTTGAATAGGAGGGCCTTGAAGCTAATGAACATAAGATTTGTCACATGGTTGATTAACAGCCCAGACCTCATTTCCATAATGATATGATTCATGCTTCTAAAGCCTCATTCACATTCGGAAGAGCTGCATGGGATGACTTTTGAACACCCAATTAAATGATTCAGATCTGATGGAATATGGCACCCACAGTTATCTAGGAAGTATCAGTATGCATGGCTGTTTTTTGAAAATGTCAATCTGAAACATTTACAATGGGATTCTATTTCCTTTTTTCCAAAGCCAGGATTTATCTCTGCTAGACAATCATTGACTTCTAAGGTACAGAGCTCAGAAATTGTTTGGAATGGAATTAGAAGTGCCTGGCCGTGACCCATTTGATTCATGAGAAGAATTTAATGTGAATAACCATTATTTCATATAGTTTATGATACTGATTAAAAATTTATCATGATTAATTGTTTCAATCTTGTTGTTATATGTCAGTGTTATTAATGAAATTTCATTTCCTTAATGGCATTCTCTGCTTCTAAGGCCCTTTTTCCCTTATGTTCCTTCATTGCTTCTATAAACCATATGCTGCAATGAATTAACTTGTCTGTATAAACTACAGTAATATCCCTTTTCTGTAAAGCTTCTAAAGTGATCAACAAAAAGGCAAAGTTAGAAATATTAGTTAAACCAAAACGGGTCTTATTTATATTACTGGAACTAAGCATTCATTGGTTACTGTGTAAGTATGGTTAAAGAGGAAACAGGACGTGTATAAGATATTATACACTTTTACACCTATACCGCTAAATCCCGGGAGGTAACTCAAATTGAAATACCTAACAATTTTATTGGATCAGAATTTGTTTACAGCCATATCATAAATATTTTCTCTCACTTCTATATAGTACTTTAGACAATGCTTGTTGCAATTACTGTATTTTAAACAAGACGATAAACCCTACCCATTTGTGGTTTTGAAGCTGGGAAAAGTCTAATGGCAAGAGTGGCGATTCATCGCTTTATTTTCGAAAAGGTTTCTACTTCAGCCGCTAACAGTAAAATAAACATAGGAAATAGGTGTGAATAGATTGGAAGAAGAAATTCTCAGGAGATTTACTTTGGAATTTCGTGGTCCATACTGAAAAGTCCTGACAGTACTATTTATTTTGTTTCACGAGTTTCTAAGTCTGTTGCTAACAGTATAATAACTACAGAAAATGTGAAAATGTGAGAAGTATAAACTCTGACCATAAGTTGTTTTGGAACATTGTGATCAATACTAACAGAACTACACATTATATTTTGCATTTTGCAATATTTTCTTTCATTATACTCTGTTAATAAGCCTACAACCTGGATGAAAGGGTTAATGATTCTTTCTTCTAGGGAGCAAAACTTCATGAAGTTTGAGATTTATAAGGTCAGATTACTTAGAAATAGTGTGGGAATGGCATTCCAGCTAAAAAAAAAAAAGGTAAGGGAACGACTTTCGCACACCATTACACCACTTGTTATTAAAACAGTTTTCTAATCAATGAATTTCCATTACTGGCTTCCCCTTATAGGCTTCCCATTATCATTCAACACTTACTATTAAACCCTACTATTCTGTTTATCCTTTCTTATAATATGTTTGCTTTCAACATCTATTTATATTTTTTTTTACCAGTTTGTGTAACTTTCTTTGTCTTTTTTTTTCCCCATTGTCTATTTTTCTACCACTGACACATATACATCTACTTTACCTTCATACACTGCAAGTGATTCTGGTCCTGCAATTTTTCCTTGGAAAAGGATTTCAGCTTGATTTAAATGATCATTTGGGATCAAAGCATCTTCAAACTTGCTTGGTAATTCCACACTGAAATATCAAAAATTTTAATGGCTAGATAACTATGCATTAACAACATTCAATATGCTGTTTCTGTTCAGAATGTTAAAACATTTCACTTGAGTTTAGATATTAAGCATAATTCTATAAAAATAGTTTTTCTGTTTTATTTTTTTTTTGTTATTGTCATTGTTTTAATGCAATATGCAAGGTCATGAAAGTTTGAAATATACTTTATTCGTTCATTAAATTATATTCTAGTAACATAGAACCAAAATACATTTATTAAATGAAGATATTGTCTCTTATCAGTCTTATAGTTAGCTTAATTGTGAATTGTAAAGCAGACTCAACATTTTTAAATAAATATAATCTTATATTAATTCACACTGTACATTATTTATTTGAGGTACCAGGTGGGGTTAAAATATGCCCAGAAGGTCATCCAAGCATGATGGGGATCTAGGAGTAGGTTTGCTAGGTTGCTGAACACAAATCTGCCATGAGATCGTGTGTTCCTGGACTCCACAGAATCCTGAAAGTGACAGTTTTTAAACTGTCTTCATACCCAGACTCATAAACTAGCAAGTCCAAATTAAGAAATGCTTAAAGTAAAAATATCTGTTACTTCACACTAATTTCATGCCATCTGAAGGGGAAAACATACTCAAACCTGATGATACATATGTCCAAAACATTTGTTAATGTAATCAGAGTAGCAACCATAAGGTTAACTGTATAATGTTAAATATTTTTCTAAGTAGTTTATTTCCAACAATTATATCTACCTAAAAAAAAAAGGCTAATACAAGTTTACTAAAAGAATGTTAGCAATAATCACACATTAGACACAAAAGAGCATGAACAAAAACACACTAAAATATACAATGTTTCTGAACTAAGCCAAGTTACTTAAATGAATTACAATTTTCATAAAATTTACAATCAAAAAGAGGAAATCTTAGAATCAGGTTTTACAATAAAATGTAAAGAATAGCATGATAGCTACTTTTTAAAACTTTCTTGTCTTTGACTTCATCAAAAAATAACCACTATTGTGCCCTATGTCACTTCTTTCCGTACGATTAATTATGTAAAAATGAGGTCCAACTAAATAATTTTTCATCTACATCCTTCAGCAGGATTATAAGTTATATGAGGCATGTTTTAATACTTACAAGTACTTCAAAGGTTGGAAGTCAAGCAGCCCTGGCCCATAGGCTATATACAGCATCAAAAGTACATTGGCAAGAATTAACTTGAATCCTACTTTTACTACTCCCATACTCTCTACAATAAACACATCTATGTGTAAATATAAAAAAGTAACATCAAATCATATCATTCATATTAAAGTTTAAAAACATAGTACATTTCAGTTCTTGTAATTTGAAATTATTTTGTCTGTGAACTCATACTTATCCATTTTTTTGTTTTTTTGCATAAAACATTTCATCATTCAATCTAATATTTTTAATATCAATATTACAAGGCAAGTAAAATCGTTATGGTAAATTTTATTTGATTGGTCATTTGGTAAAACTACTGACAATGGTATAAATCTGACAAAGTAACATTCTCATATTTCTTATTTGAAAGTGTAAGAAATTTTATTTTTTTCATTATCAATTCACTTAATTTATATACTAATCTGATACATCTGTAGAAACATTTTCCAGGTTTGATATCCAATTCAAGTACAAGTTACTAAAACAAAGCATAAGAAAAAAGGTTAGCTGGATATGTTACACTTAATTAAAAATGTATTTTTTGGCACAGCAATGTGAGGATATTTACTAGCACACAAAAATGTTACTTTTTGAGTTTTTTAATGTATGGCCATTTACTTACAAATACAATTTATGTTCATCAATTTTAATTGAGAATTATAACCCTTATTTTTATAATGCTCTCAAATATAATAAACTTTCAACTTTTTTTTAAGGCATCCTTCAAATTTCCTGTTCTTTCCGGCTTGATAAGTTGACTTATAGTAACACAGTACAGTAGAGTTGAAAGTTCTGTTAATGTTATCTGTACGATTTCAAAAAACAAAAACAGATTAATTGCAATAAATGCCATCATATCATGTTGACTGAGAAGTTGAAATCTTGGATAGAAAGTGGTCGGTGTGTTAAAACTAAAATTACGTTTCTCTACACGTAACAATTAAATGTTAATAATATTAATAAATACACACATGTTTTAAATAAGCATAGTTTGTGTTAGACAACATCCTTACCTTTTATTTTTGGTCAAACAATGAACAAAATTGCTAATTGACAGACTAATTCATATTTTCTCTATTTCACTTTTTTGAAATCATTCAAACCAGTATCAACTGAGGTCTAAGCCAGTGCATTTTCTTTATCCACGTGACGGATAATATAAGTATTAAGGTTGCCATATAATGGATAGGAAAAAAACCAGGACTTTAGAAATAAGATTCATTTCTGGTCACGTGAACATTAAATAACCTTAACTCAGTCACTTGTTATGTGTTTAAGTTTTGCTTAGCTGAATAAGTAACAGTTAATTAGCCATGCACTTTTTGACAGTTTTCATCATAATTGACCAGGACCGAAATCAAGCCCAATTCCATGGTTTTTGATGGGCGTTATAGGGTTTTTATATATCGAAAACTCTGGAGGGTTAACGTCGTCGAGCGCCAAAAGAAGAAAAATGTTTTGGTTATATCTCTTTTATTTTTTAACGCTTCCTCGACGTAGTGCAAGATATAGTATTGTTGCGTCATCGAGATCACGTGACAATTCTCACGCTCTCTTATTTCTAGAACTATCCCGTATCTTGGCGAATGGTCTAGTATTTACTAGTA